GCCATCAGTAGAATTCAGACCGACAACGGGGAGGGATGCCCAGGACTAATTCAATGATGATTGATGATGGTATAATAAAAACTGCAGTCTGCATCAGCACCAATTTCTAGGCCTAAGTAAAGTTATTCAACTCAGAACTCTGTTTAGCGCTAAAAATTGCCCTCACCCAACTTTGATCATGTTTGACCCACTTCTGAAGAGTCAAGATATATGACTAATCCTCTCCGTTCGTATTTTCTTATTGACTCTTTCTGACCCTTTAAGTTGGGGCGGGTCGGAAAGAATCGGATTAGTGGGTCGATCCTAATCAAGTGGAATCCCAATCCCTTCACTCTCACTTGCTTTCTCTCCCATTCCACAAGTGGGAAACATACAGTAATCCGGCCAACGGGCCGGGTAATAAGCTAGTTCTTTTATAGTATAAACTAAATTTATACGTTCATGTTTAACGTTATAATACAAGCTCAATATATACCTCAAAATTCCAATACTTTAGGCATAGTACAAGCGCGGATAACACTCCTTGTAAAAAAAAGAGGTGGTAATGCAAATCCAAGATAAAAATCACAACCGAATTTGTACCAACTACCAACTAACAACCGAATTATAATACTAGTTTGGGACGAAGGCATCGATTAGGGCTTTGGGCCGTTATCTTCGTTCAAGTGCTGGATATAACAGTTGGACCAATCTGAAATTTTAAGCCCAACGTTATAGCTCCCAATCCCCAACCTCAGTCCAGTCCCGTGTTAGTTCGAAGATCAGGCCCACAATTTCTTCCAATCACTAACATCAGTTTAAGGCTCGAATATGGCCTGAGTTCAAGTCCTTAAACTCTATTCTTTAAGGAGAACCTTAAAATAATTCTATTGGCTATTTGGGTTTTAGGTAGTTAGGGAGTTATTGGTTAAGTAGTTAATAAGGATATTTTAGGAACTATGATTAATATTAAAACTATAAAATTAACCTTTATTATCTTTAAGAACCCACGTATTATTCCTAAATCCCAACCGAAACGTCGGCCTCCACAAACTTCGCCGCTGCCTTCCCGCTCGTCGTTTGACGCTAAAAGAGGCTTCCTCCGTCCGTCCGCCATTAATCGTTCGCCGGCATCTTCTGTCGCAGTTGTGCGTCAATAGCAAGCTCGTCGTCGTCGTCCTTCTTCTGTCGCTCTGGCTTTCGGCGTAGATCCCATTCTTTCCCCTCTCCCGTCGGCAACCAACAACGTCGGTCTATCTCATTCGAGTTTTGTTAGTCAAAGGATTTTGTTTATGTCAACAGTGGCGCAGATCCGGCTTCCGTTGCTTACGTCCATCGTCGGTACCTCCCCCTGTCGCTCCCGTCATATGTCCCTGTTTTCCAGACAGGTCGAGGAAGCTAGTTGCTCGTCGTCGTTAGTGTGTGGTCGTCTCTTTGGGTCACCAGTCCTCCAACGTTTTTCTTTCGTTTTTTGTCAATATATTTGTCTCCATTCGTGTCATTTAATTGTTTAGTTTGTACCGTTTTACCGTTAAGTTAATAACATTTTTCTAAACATTGTTAACATTTAATTTGTAAGTTAACAACATTTTTGACCACTATTAACTTTTTATTATTACGTTTTTGTTGCTAATCTGTATTTCGTTAGTAGCATTTTTGTTATCATTGTTAACGTTTTAAGTTTGAGTTAGTAATGTTTTGTTACCATTATTAACGTGTTATTATTAACCTTTTGTTACCAATTCATAGATTTTATTGATAAGTTAGTAACGTTTTTTATACCACTATTAACATTGTTCTTACCATTTTTAACATTTAATTGCTAAGTTAAAACATTTTTTGACCACTATTAACTTCCTATTATTAACATTTTGTTGCTAATGTGTGTTTCGTTAGTAACATTTTTGTTACCATTGTGTTAATGTTTAATTTTCAGGTAGTAACGTTTTGTTAATATTACTAACAATTCTTAACTTTTTGTTACCAATTTATAGTTTTAATTGTTAAGTTAGTAACATTTTTATACCATTATTAATGTTTTCCCAAATAATTGATAATATTATATTTAAAAATACTTTTTATACCATTATTAACGTTTTCCCAAATAATTATTAATATGACAATATAACATTATCAAGATTTTAGTTATTACCATTATTAATGGTTTCACATATGATTATTAACGATATTGTGTCACTTTACAACAACCAGATTATAACCTACGTTCTGGACAGGATGGCGGCGACCTTCGCCTGGAGGTTCCGGAGGAGATGGCGCATGGTTGAGGTCTTATGGGGAGATTGCGTCGAGTGGTGCGGAAAAATCTTCTTCTTCTTCATCAGCTACAATGTCTTTCTTGCGCCGCCTCTCCGGACGAGGGACGCGATGGAAGAATTCGATGGCGGTCGAGGGAGTAGCGACCGAACTAAGGAGACCCGACTGCGTTGTTCGTAGCACCAACGGCGGAGAGGCTGTCGACGGCGGAAGTATTATCGTTGGGAGGGGACTCTTTCTTTTGAAATTTATGCCGCCCATTTTTGGCTAGTGGGATAATTTTCCTGTTTGCCATTTGTATTATTAATGTTATTAATATTTATTATATTCCATCTTTGCCCTTTTAGCTAGTTAGCCAATAATTAATAATAATTATCTCTCTCCTCTTCCTATTGGCTGGAATGAGTTTAAGATTCTCCTTAAAGAACGAGGCTTAAGGACCGGATCTAACCCGCTCAAATATGTGTAAGGTCCAAGATTTGGCTCATGCTTTGTGACGTGCAATCCTAAAAGAAGTCAAGGTATTGCGATCAACTAATCTCTAGTGTAGTGGAGGACCTAGGAGTATCGGAGAGGTGTGTCGCTGATAAAATAAAATAATAATTAAATTAAATTAAAAATTAAGTAGAAATTAAAAAAATTAATTCATAAAGTTCACAATATCATGTTTACAACGAATCGCGATGACTTTTCATCTGCCGAAATGTCTCTAAAATACATTAATCACTTATACAGCAAAGAAAATCTTTTTCAATATGCACAACTAAACAATCATTCATAAATTGATCACTCAACCGATTTCGAAGATCATTCTTGATTATCTTCATAGTTAAAAATGTTCTTCCGCAGCTTGTCGTTGCAACAGGTAATGATGGGGAGTTAGTGGCCGCCTGGGCCATTGGCCATTAGGCCTGTGGGTTTTTTTTTCTCTTTTAATTATAGGCCGAGGCCCAACACACATCACACATGTATATTGTATGGGCTGAGAGTTTGTTTTTTTTTTAATAGAAATTTATAGGATTATGATTTATGAGTTATTTTAAACAAAATTGAAAAGGATTATGATTAAGATTGATTTATTCGGATAATAAATTCTTCAGAGTATAATGAAGGTGAGTCGGCTATAATTATTGAAGGTGTGTCGGCTATCTCGAAATAAAAAAATTTGTACCAAAAATATGTAGGTCTTTCACAAAATTCTCGAGCAAGGTGTGTCGGACGACACACCCTCCCTTGCCTTAGTTCCGCCACTGCTCTAGCGTGTTTCATTTCATTTCATGTTTCGTATGTAAAATAGGATTTGCTCGTATCACAAGAAATACAAACCCTCTTAATATTAGTTTAACATTTTGTTGACCAACACACTTTTTTTTTTCTCGTAACTTTGACTAGCGAAGATCATATGATATTCATATCTCGTTATTTTGTTTCAGAGTGTTTTGGAAAAAAAAAAAAAAAGACGAGACTAATCATACTTCATACTTCATACTTCAAACAGCGATGCCAACAATACAAGTTAACTTTTCATATCAAACAAACCAATCAAACAAGAACATGTCTGAAGCTGCTTGTGGACTGGCTTGCCCCATGCCTGGAATCTAACAGGTTTACTTTTTGTATCAAACAAACCAATCAAATTTTACAAGTATTTCTCATAGCGATCGAATGTGTTGTTGTTTCTCAACTTGATATAATTAAAAGGAATGTTAAAACATGACTTGTATACTTTAAGATTATGATTGGTGGCATTTGACCAAGTGTATAATAAGATAGTGATTCTTGGATGTACAGCTAAGAATGTAAATGATTTTACAATGCAAAAAATGATTCGACTATCCTTCGAAAAATAGTGATATTTATATATATATCTCTATACCCTTTTGATAGTAGTGTATGAAATGTGGTCTCTCACATTTTGTTGGATTAGATTACTCCGTACTAATAAACATTATCAAGCATTAAGAACTATGAGATATTGCCTTGAGTTTTGCTTGATCATAAGTTAGGATTTCGAAAATCCTAAACCTTTCATAGCACTCTTATGGCAATGATATATTTGTTAGATCCACTTATGTTTATGAGCTTATAAGTCATTGGTAATATGCCAATCCCATAGCCAAAATCTATAGTCTAGTTGGACTAGGAATCCCTCTTGGGATAGTGATCCTTCTAGGACTAGGATTCAAAGATGGAATTAGAGATTTAAGTTGAATTCCCAATTTGATTAGGTGTGTAAGTACTACTTAGATTGATAAGAATTTAGAAATCGTAGTTGAACCATAAATCTCATTTCGAATGAAAAAGTTGTAATGATCTATATTTTCTTTCTGTTATAGGTCGTGGACTCCAACAATTATTCACTATTGATAAAGGTGATATAACAATAATAATTGACTCATCATTGTAAGTAATCGTACAAAATAATAATAGACTAACCATGAAGCAAAAATCTACATCCATGAAAAACTCCTCTTAAATTAAAGGTGAGACCACCAATCACCAGCTAGCCTAGGTTCAAATTGGTACAAGGTCGCCGACGGTGATGTCAACAATAAAATAGGTTTGACTTTTTCATATCAAACAAAAACAAGCGTGACATTTGTACTGTTCCATTTACCTTCTTCTCTAATATAATCCAATTCACTCAAACATTTGGCAATAAGATCATTCCCCTGATCTTCTGATGTCTGAACATAAAGAAACACCATCAAAACCCTATAAAATCCCATTTGAAACAATTTACACACCATCACCCATTCAGCTTCTTCATCAGGGGGAAAAAAAAACCTGAAGCTCAAGACCAAAAATGGGTCGAATCCCAAACCCTGCCTACCTCCTCCTAGTGATTTCCATCCTCCTCTTCTCCCCAACCTCAAACTCTGAAGAACAAGAAGGCGTCAAGAAATCCCTAATCCGTTTCGTGCAAAAGCTGTCAGGAGGAAACAAAGCCATCAGCAAGCGGTGGAACATGACCTCCGACGCGTGCGAATGGGTCGGGGTCACGTGCGACCCCGAAACCGGGCTCGTATGGACCGTCGTCCTGGAAGGGCTGAACCTCAGTGGAACGCTGGACGCAGCCTCGGCCTGCAAGGCCGAGTCGCTTCTCGTCCTGAAGCTGAAGAACAACAACCTGACAGGCTCCATACCTAGTGGGATCGGAAACTGCCACAGTCTCATAATGTTGGACCTGAGCGGGAACCGGTTCACTGGTTCGGTTCCCGATACGGTTGCAAACATGACTACTCTATTGCAGCTCGAAATCTCTGACAATCGGTTGACAGGGGAGGTTCCTGACCTGAGCAGGCTGATGCTTCTCCGAAACTTTCTTGCTCAGGAAAATCGGCTCCACGGGTCGGTGCCGGTAATGAATTTTGACAGTCTGCAGGGTTTCAATGTGTCGGACAACAGGTTTCAGGGCAGGATTCCTGATGGGGCGGGGAAGTTTGGAGCTGACAGCTTTTTGGGGAATCCTGAATTGTGCGGAGCTCCCCTGCGTGATGCTTGCTCCGACGACGCGGGCGAGCCGGCGGCGGCGGTGGCGCGGCCTGCTGGTCCGATTGATCCGCCGACGGTGGATGTAAGCGGAGGGGTTGAAGTTCAAGGAAATGGGATACTGATGCTATTGCTTTGGTGTTGTTTTTTCCCTTCTTGTTTAGCTGGGTTTTGTTTCTTTGTTGGGATGTGATTGGATCACATGTGGGTTTGGAGTTGTTTTTTATGCTTGATTGTCCTCTTCTATCTTCCCTTTGGAATGAATATGCATAGTTAAAACCGAGGGGGGATCCATTTGCGATGCAAGAAGCCAATCATATTATAAAATGGTTGTATTAGGAATATACACATTAGTCACGTTTTAATGAAGTTGAAGTTGAGATTCTAACGTTAGTGTTTGATTGTTTGTTACTTGCATCTTTGTGTTGAGGACAAAACTTTATTGTAATTGTAGGATAGTCTTTAAATATTTGGAATCAAATACGTGGGGAGATGTGTTAAGAATAAGACATGAAAATTAGTATAATTTTTTATTTATTTTGAGATGCGAGTTGGAGAGATAGGTATGAAAGATGAAGAGCATATATAATGGATAAAAAAAAATGTGGGTCGTTTGGATGAGTCTTTTGGATGAGACAATTTGACACAATTGACTCAAAATGAGACAATTGTATCAAATTGATTCGTTTGGCTGCATAAAATTAAAACGAAATAATTTGGATTAGGTCAATTACAATTGTTTCATTATGGGTCAATTGAATTCCACATCTGACCTTTTCTTTTCCCCGCTCTCTCTCTATCTCTCTGCACAGACAAACCCGCTCTCTCTTTCTCTCTTATCTTTACTTTCTCTGGTAGAATATCTGCCCTTCCTTTTCTTCTCTTTCTTGCCTCTGTATGGCGAATGATCTGCCGATCTTCGATGGCGGATAAACGGAAGAAAAATCAAGCTTTGGATGGTCGCCGGCGGACAACGGGAGGAACGAGAAGCTCTTTGGAGAAGGTAAGGTGATTAATCGAGTTCTCAATCTTCATCTTTTGTCCACTCTTTCTGTTTTAGATTAGAAATTTCCCTTTCTCTAAAAAATCAAATTCTTGGAGGTTGGATTTTTCTTCCTCTGCCGCTTCTTTCTTAATCTGGCTATGAGAAAGTAAACTTTGCGGCAAGGACAATGACGAAGAAGAAGAAGAAGAAGAAGAAGAAGAAGAAGAGCTCAAGGGTTTTTTGTTTATGGATTTTTTTTGTGAGTCATCGCCAAACAGTTACCCAACAAGTTCTTGATGTGTGGATCACGCATGTAAGGTGTTTGATAAAGTGGGTTAGTGAAAGGTTTTAGTGTGAGGGCCTTGAAATTGAAACCCATATTTAGCTTTCACAAATCATTTTCTTTTCTGATTGTGGATTATGCAAAAGTGTATTTTAATTTTCATACAAATCTTATTTGATAGAATGGGTCAATGTATTGTTTGATGTATGGACTATGGATTATGAATATAGATCTCCAATTAGAATTTTGGTTTGTTGCAGTTGGTGAATCTTCTCTAATTATAGTTTGGCATAGTTGAATTTCCAATCTATGGCTCTAAGCCACTGACTTTATGCTAAATCGGTGGGTTTTGGTTGGTCTTGAGAATTTATGTACTTCTAGGTACAAAGATTAAAAGAGAGAAGATGAATAAGGGTAAAATAACAAGGGCAAAAGTGTATTTTCAACAAATGTCTTGAACCAATTGTCTCATGTCAAATAATAAGCCAAACAAGACAATTCTCAACAAATGTCTCAAACAATTACCTCATTTTCTAAAATGAATCAATTGAGCCAAATTGTCTCGTTTTGAAAACGCTCCATCCAAACGACCCCATGAGGATATCGTATAATTCATGTGTACGGTTATAAGTATTTCTCGTAGTTGTTTGACATGTTGTGGGTCGTTTATGATTATGATCAATTTGATTGTAAAATTATTTGGATCGTTTTTTTGGTTTTTGTTTGATTCTAGACCTTGGATCTCATGAAAGTTTACACCTTAATCCTTATAGAAAATGGTCTCATCATTTATTAACAAAGTGTGTTTTGGTTTCAATGATTGTAGTTTTATGTGTTCAAAATCACTAGTAGCCGTTCACTTATTGCAGAATTTTTTATTTATATGTAGATTGTCGAGCACATAAGAATTATATTTCGATACGAGAAACTTATATATTGTTGATCTATCAAACGTAAATGTTTGATACCGATTAAAACATTTTTCTCAGATTAATTAGTCATTAAGAGGAGAAATTTTACAATGCTATATAGTATTGGTGCTATAGGGTTTTGCCGCCTTTATGGTACAACTTAAAATTGTACATTTATGTTATGGTACAATTTCATATTGTACATATACTTTTTGTACAAATTCTTTTATGGTACAACTTGAATTTGTACCTTTATGTGATGGTACAACTTCAAGTTGTAAAGTTGTACCATAACATAATGGTACAAATTGCTTTATGATGCAACCTAAACTTATACATTTAATATTAGGGTTAATATTTTCGTATGGCCTGAACTTTGACCAAAATAAACATCCTGGCCAATATTTTCGATCTATAACATCCTGGCCCGAACTATACACCAAAATAAACAATTTGGCCAGATCCGACTTTTGACTGTTAACTTGGATGGTCAAACGCGTTGACCGTTAGTCAATGCGCCATGTCACTGCCAAGCCAGCATAAAATATTTATAATAATTCACAATTTCCACACATTCTCTAATTTTAAATTATTATAAATTAAAAAAAATAATCTAATACCTTAGTTAAACCAAAAATAAAAAACGAAAAAAATAAATATTTATCAGATCTTCTGACTTGGCAGTGACGTGGCGCGTTGACCGTTAGTCAACGCGTTTGACCATCCAAGTTAACGGTCAAACATCGGGTTTGGCCAAATTGTTTATTTTGGTGTATAGTTCGGGCCAGGATGTTATAGATCGAAAAGATTGGCCAGGATGTTCATTTTGGTCAAAGTTCAGGCCATACAAAAATATTAACCCTTAATATTATGGTACAACTTTAAGCTGTACATTAAAGCACCAATACTATATAGCATAGCAGAAGTGCTCGTTATTGCATTCGTTACATTCTTTCATATTTTTCTTCGAATTTTTGATTTATTCAATTGGATTTGCAATACTTTCTTTCATAGTAGAAGCTCCCAACAATCCCCTACGGAAAAGGGCCTTCTCGGGCCGGGGCCCAGTACCATGACCAAGAATGGACAGGAGCCGATAGCGGCTATTGAGACCCACGAAGCCCAACCCTCGACCGCTGCTTAGAACAATAATGGGAAAAAGACTAAGGATCTTAAGATGATGGGCTAGGATGGTACTTCGGGCCAGAAAGGAATACCCCAACCCATTGCCTCCCCTCCTCTCATTCACTCAATCACCGGCCCAAATGGGACAACGATGCAAATAATCTCAGTCCAACCAACCGGCGTGGCCTCCACCGGGAAAAATAGCGAGGTGACTCCATCCACAGCCTCCAGAACGAAGCAAGCGAAGAACTCCAAATCGCGTGGACGGAAGGGATATCCTGCCAAGCTCAATCCGACTAGGACCCTTCAAATTTGGTCCCCGGTAAAGGAGAGGAAATCAAAAAATAAAGCTCGTTTGGCTACGTTAACTCTGCAAGACATCAACGCGTGGACTAAGGCTCGAGCCCCCCCCCTCCCCCCCCACTCGGGTACTATCGACCAAACCGCTACGGAAGAACTGAGCCAGCGACCACAATAGGGGTCTTTGGAGGGGGAGATGCTCACCTCCGCTCACTAATTCTCTGCTTGGATCTTCTCTCCTTCTGTGTTCTCTTCCGATGTCTGTTTTTATGTCTAGTAACCATAGCATTAAAAAAATTTATTGGAACGTTGGTGGTGCAGGTAACATTGTCTTCGTTCGAGCGCTTTGCCTAGCTATTCAGCAACATCGTCTGGATTTTGTGATTCTTTTGGAACCCCAAATCAGTGGGAACTTAGCTAATTCTGTTTGTGACAAGTTGGGTTTTCCTAATTCGATTAGAGTTGAAGCGGAGGGGAGAAAGGGCAGAATCTGGGTGTTCTGGGATGCTGGAAAGTTTTCTATGCACCTCGTTTCGGCCTGCAATCAGCATATCTCCTTGAAAGTATCTCAGAATTCTGCGCCCCCTGGATGCTGACCGCCCTGTATGCCTTGCCTCGGTACAGCCAACAACGGGGTCTTTGGGAGTGCCTTATTGGCCAGAGCAAACAGATCGATATCTCGTGGCTTCTTACCGGGGATTTCAATGCGATTCAGTCTCTTGAAGAGAAGGCAGGTCCCCCCACAAACTCCACCGCTCGTTGCTGTCACATTTTCAACGAGAGAATCAATCTGGCGGAGTTGGTAAACGTTGGCTTCTCCGGGCCCCATTTCACGCGGACTCGAGGGGATCAGCCCCAAACCTACAGAGCAAGTCGTCTTGATAGGAGTCTTTGCAATCTGCGGTGGACCACGAGCTTTCCCAACACTTCAGTCACTCATCTACCTCACTTCCACTCTGATCACAACCCAATCACAACCCAATCATGACCTCCATTACTGTCCAGGGATGTCCCCCCTCTGTCCCTCAACCTTTTAAATTCGAAGCTGCGTGGTTAACTCACAACAGTTTCGCTGATTTTATCTCTGATTCCTGGAACTCTGATACTCTTTTCCATGCTGCCTTGTCTCAGTTTGCAGGTAAACTTCAGGATTGGAATATCAGCACCTTCGCCAATGTGCAACATAAGAAGAGGCGGTTACTTGCTCGGCTTAAAGGAGTTGAGACTAGACTGGCGGTCGTGTTCTCTCCCGGCCTTGCCTAACTGCATTCCAAGCTGGAGGCCGAGCTCGATAATGTCTTGGCACAGGAGGAGCTGATTTGGTTCCAGCGAGCGAGAGAAAATTGGGTGAAGTATGGGGAAAGGAACACTGCTTATTTTCATCAGCTGGCCAACATTAGGAGGCGTAGGAAGATACTCCTTATGAAGACAAGCTTCCAAAGGACTTCTTCCCGCGGATTACTCAATCGGAGTTGATGGTCTGCTACGGCCTTTTACTATAACGAATATCCACAGGGCTATTTTTTATATGAAGCCATTCCAGGCCCCCGGTCCAAATGGTTTCCAAGCTGCTTTCTTCCAACAGATGTGGAGAGTCATAGGGAGGAACCTCTCGGAGATGGCTATTGATTTCTTCTCCACCGGGAGTCTGCCAGAGAAGGTGTCTGAGTCAACCATGGTGCTTATCCCGAAGGTGGAAAATCCAGAGCAAGTGACTCAGCTGAGGCCCATCTCTCTTAATAATGTGAGCCTCAAAGCCATCACAAAAGCTATGACGAGTAGACTGAAGCCCCTCATGAGGAAGCTAGTGTCATTGTGAAGATCGACTTGGAGAAAGCATATGATAAACTTCGTTGGGACTTCTTGCGGGACACTCTAAAGGAAGTTGGCCTCCCTAGTTCCTGGATCAGCTGTATAATGCACTGCGTGGAACAGAACCGGATGAGAATCCTATGGAATGGAGAGCTTTCTCAACCCTTCTCCCCGACCAGGGGAGTCCGCCAGGGAGACCCTCTATCTTCTCATCTCTTTGTCCTTTGCAGGGAGCGTCTTTCCCACTTGATTGATGAGTTTGTAGTTAGTGGGGATTGGAAGCCTCTTAGACTGTCTCAGAATGGTCCGCGACTCACCCACCTTTTCTTTACGGATAATCTGTTTCTTTTTGCAGAAGCGGGATAGGGAATATCAAACGGTGCCTGGAGGACTTCTGTTTCAGCTCAGGCCAGTGTGTGAATTTTAATAAGTCTATGCTCTTCGTTTCACCCAACATTGCTCGCCAGAAGGCTGAAAGGTTGAGTCACCGATCAGGCATTCCTTTGACGGCCGACCTGGGGAAGTATCTTGGGATCCAGACGATCCATAGGCGGACACTAAAGAGAGATGCCAGTCTCTCCTTCTTCGAATTCAAAGGAAGCTGGCTCCTTGGAAAGCCAGACGTCTCTCTTTTGCGGCTAGGCTTACTGTTGCTAAATCGGTTTCCGCGTCCTTACCTGTCTATCATATGAATATTGAGCTAATCCCGTATGGTGTTTGCAATATCATTGATAAAATTAACAGGGATTTCATTTGGGAAGACGAGGAGAACAGGAGCAAGATGCACTTAGTAGCCTGGGAGAAGATGACGTTACCTAAGACCATGGGTGGAGTTGGCATCAGACCCACTAGACAGGCTAACCTGGCTGGGTTGGCGAAAAGTGGGTGGAGACTACTCAAGGAAAAAGATACCCTATGGACCTAGATCATGTATACCAAGTATGGGCGTCAGCAGAGACACCTAGGCATCCTGCAACCTTCTCAAGTAAGTTCCTTTACCTGGCCAAGCTTTTCGAAAGCTGCCACCCTCCTAAAAAAGGGGTGTGCTTGGAATATTAAGAATGGTAAACACACTAAGTTTTGGCTTGACCCCTG